TTCTATGTACAGTAAAAAGAAAATACAAATAAAATGAAATAAAAGGCAGCAGAGAGAAGAAAAATAACATTTCAAAAAATGTTTCAACCCCTGAACCAGAATCTGATCCAAAACCTCAGTTTTTTTGTGATTTTTGGTTCTGTTTGGTTCTGCAGGTCCACATCAGGCTGTCTGAGCTCAGGATCATCAGCTGTGATCTGATGTCTCAGATCATTCTTCTGACTGATGCTCGTCTTATCTCTGCGGGTAATCTCACCATTAAACCTCCGACACACACACACACACACACACACACACACACAGTGCTGGTGTGTGTAGCTCTGTCTCTTCAGTAGATTGTGAGGAAACGTGTCCTCTGTCCTCTGCATGGAGTCCAAAAAGACCCCAGCAGGTATTTTCCCCTTCAGTTTACAGCAGAAGAACGTAAAGAATAAAGCTTTAATCCAGATAATTTCTGTCTGGATTATCTGACATGTTCCAACAAAGCTTGACCTTGGAAATCTGTCAAAGCCATGTTTTATGTTTGACCACTTTCAGCTCCTAAAGAGAAACAAAAAGAAGTTAATTAGGTTACATAAAGCCTCAGTTTTTGTTCTTTCTATCTGTTAACTTGGGTTTTTCTGCCTCTGAGAATCCTCTGAGCTCGAGTTAACGATCAATTTTACCCTCGTTAGGAAAGCATAGAGAATTTGTGTGTGTGTGTGTGTGTGTGTGTGTGTGTGTGTGTGTGGCGGGGGGCATTCTTATTTTTGATGTTTTTTCCACTTTGAACATAAAAGTTTCTCCACATTAAAGATTTTGGAGGCGAGACATTTGAATGGACTGAATAAAATTAACCAAAAACCCACCCGTCAAAGTTGATCTACTTTATGACCACATTTTAAATTAAAGGCCAAGTATCTCTGAAAGAAATGTTTGTCATCCGCCACCTTTAATGTGGAGTTTGAGTTGTTTTTAACTGTTTTTTATTCATGATTCAATGAAAGTGATTCTTGCTAGAAGACAAAGAAAGTTGGTTCCTCATTTTGAGTATTGTGGCCTGAGATAAGAACTCCCTGCATATCATACGATCACTCACACTTTGGTAAAAATGACTTTATAAAGGTGAATAAATCAGTTAAATCTGATCTGGCTCCCAACAGTAAAAAGCAGGACAGAAACAGTTTATCGCCCTTTTTGTTTCTTTCAAACCCACTCACTAAAGAGTCAAATATTTTACTGAGAACAGGCAAACTTTTAGCCTTTAAAAGAAATAATTCAATAAAAAAAAAATTAAAATAGTGCAGAACTAGCTTCTCATTTGGGAGATTAGCTTTTTTGCTAACTTTAGAAACTGTTAGCGGATTAGTTTCCACCAAATTGGAGTCCTCTGATTTTAAGTCNTTTAGTGGATTAGCATTAGTTTCCTCTAATTTATCTGTTTAGCAGATTAGCATTAGAGAGCTAACATTCTTGTTTAGCGGATTAGCATTAGCTTCCACTAACTTTTATGTTTTAGTGGATTATCTTTAACAGAGCAAAGACTCTCGTTTAGTGGATTAGTGGTGCCCTCCACTGCATCTTAAATTATATTTRGCTCAGAGTTTGTGTTGTGAATGACTCTCAGCTACTACCACTCCAGATTTTAGCTGAGTATATGTGAAAATGCCGAGTTGTAGGCATTTCTTTTTGTGCRTGTTTGTTGGCTAAGGTTAATCAGCTGTGGCGGCCATTTTGAATTGTGTTTAAATGGGTTTGAGAGGTTCGTCCTGTGATTGACATGAGTTTCACTGATGTCCATGCAGTGGTCGTTATATTTTACTAACAAAGATGTGCTCCAAAATGTGGGCGTGTCATTCTTCAGAGCTTGAGCTAAAAATTAAATTCTGGCTCAAAAATTAGCATTAATTATAATAAATTTTCCAAACATTCCATTTGAACAAACAGAAACGTTGAGTTTTTTCTTTGCTTTCGTCCAAACCAGCAGCTTGTTTCAGTTTAAATCTGTCAAAACGTCCTTGCTGAGCTCTTTGATAAAGCCGACAGATTATCGATTCCTTTTTGCCTTTTTTCGCTGAATCATCAAAGTTTAAAAGCTGATAAGACGATTCATTAAAGGGTTTGTATTTTCAGACACAGTTTGTCTCGTCAGCAGTAAAGTTCCTCACAGGCTGCTGAACATGAAGGTGAACGCCTCTCTTGTTGTTGTTGTTTATGTTTTTGTTTTTTATTTACGTTCAGGACGTTTCTAAAATTATACCTTCAGTTAATTCAGGGCCCGCACAGAGTCCTGCTTAGAGAGCTCAATGTCTGTATAATTATAAGGTTTGTCTTTAGCTAAAGTGGATTTATTTCAATAAATTTTTAGAGTTAAAATTTAAACTAACACAAATTAAATGGAAAAATCACTGTATTATTACCATGAATTAACATAATCTATTATACTGAATTGGATTCTTCTGATTTTAGGAAAGTACCTGACTTAATTAAAATTTTAAACTTTTTAACAAAAAAAATTAAACCAGTAAACAGTTTTATTTTGTATATTCTTGTTTCATCTCCTCCTGTTCTTTAGCGTATATGTAACCAGTTAAAGGTTTGATTATTGAAGGTTTTCTGCTTGAATGAAGAAGTGTAGATTTATATAAGATAAAAGGGCAATTTAGCTGTAATGAATTTTACCAAGTTTAGCTTTTACAGAGCTAAAATTGGGATTTAAAGTTGGTTAAAATTTTTGTTTTTAACTAAAGAAAAAATTTTGCAACAAAAAACAATTTATTTAAAATGGAAAAAATAAGTGGCTATGGATWATGGATGGATAAATATTTTAGTTTTTGATATAATACAACAGCCTGACATATTTTTTCATTATGACACAACGGCCTGCTTTATTTTTTAAATTATGACACAATGGCCTACCATATTTTAAAATTGAGTCAACAACCTGCCATAACTTGTTCATTACAAGATCCAACTTCCTGCTATATTTTTCTAATTAAATCACACAACAACCTGCCCTGCATGTTAAAAATATGATACAACAACCTGCCATATTTTTTCATTATGACACAACCRCCTGCTTTATTTTTAAAAATGTGGGTCAGTGGCCTGCCATATTTTAAAATTGAGTCAACAACCTGCCATACCTTGTTCATTGTAAGATCCAACTGCCTGCTATCTTTTTCAAATTAAATGACACAATGACCTGCCCTGCCTGTTAAATGTATGATACAACAACCTGCCATATTTTAAATTATGACCCAACGGCCTTCCATAAATTTGATATAATGGCCTACCCTGCTTGTTAATTATAACACGACCTGCCATATTTTCATATGACACGATGACCTGCCATATTTTTAGATTATTGGTTTATTATATATAAATACATCATACCATAGATTATGATACAAGTATTTCTGAACTATTTTAGAATCAGGTTCATTTGTTTTATTTATTTTGCAATTATTTTATTTGTATCAAAGATTTATTTTTAAACAAATTTTATGGCTCCAGTTTAACTCCATAAGCTTCAGTTCCAAACATCTACTTTTTTTACATTTATAAAAACTGTTAATCCTATTAAACTAAGTATTTGAGCCTCATTAAGCCTCCGGAGTGATTACACTTTACCATAAAATTTAATTAGGAGTAGGAAGSTCTTTTTGTTCTGGTGGGGGCGCGTTTTGAATGATTCTCTGGACCACAGTGTCCTGATCCTGCTGCCAGCTGCTTTTCTTCAGTTTCCTGCACGTCCTCTGCAGGTCGCCTGGTCGTTAGCACTTCAATTGTTCTGCCAGCGTGACGGAATCTGTCCGTGTCCATCAGCGCCGGCTGTTCGGCTTTGTGCAAAATTAAAAAGTGTGACAATAGTCTGAATAATTAGCTCTGTGGGTGTGAGCCAACTKTGTTCTGTCTTCCAGTGTTACATGGTGACGGTTCTGCTGGACTTCCTCTGGAGGCCTCCACCATCAAACAGCCGAAGTCGTCTGATTAGTCGACGCCGCCTTRTTGGGCTTTCGGCTGTTTACACCTGGAACAAATGAAGCAGAGGTGACTAATTTCTTGTCAAATTAATGATAATAACACGGATTATCCATCCGCGTTAGCTGTTACTCCGTCTCATTAAAGCATTTTCAGAGTTGTTTGATCATTTGAACGTTCAGCTGATGAGCCTGAGCGTGTGAGCCGAAACACCGGGTCGTTAGCTCTTCGCTTCTGGGAGGACGATGGTTACAGAAACAAATTTTCTTTCCCATCAGAGTATCTCTGAGGTTTGGAAACCCTCGAGTGGGCAAATCAATCCCAGCTTTATCCCGGAGAGCCCGGATGGATCAGAGGTGGAGCTGAGTGCAGGTCACTCAAGGTCTTCGGCTCACATTTTAGCTGCTTTCTGTTCATTATTGTGATTATGCTGAGTCAGCGTTAGTTTGGAATCTAACTCTGAATACTTTGATGTTTTACCTGTTCATAAATCAAAACATTGTCAATCAGGGGCTTTTAGTTTGTCTTTTGTAGTTTTACTTACTTTCTAAGTTTTATTTACAAATATTTTCTCCATATAAATACACACAGACCTCTTCAATTTCTTCAAACATTTGTATTTTAAAATAYATATATATGCTTCAGCAAACTGGCTCCTTTAGCTACAGTTCTTTTTAGTCATCATTCTGGAACTTTTTACTTGTCTTTTTACTTTTCTGCAACTTTCATATTGCTGCTTTTAGCTACTGCTATGCTACTTTTAGCTACTGTTGTACTTTTAGCTTACCCTTTGTTCTATTTTACTACCATTTTGCTTTGATAGCTTGTGTTTTTCTATTTTCGCTACTGTTCTACATTTAGCTTACCTTTTTTTTGGGGGGGGGGGTTGCTGACATTTTGTTACACTGTTAGCTTGCCTTTGGTTCTGCTTCTTTTACCGTGCCTTTTGTTCATTTTTAGTTACTACTCTGCTACTTTTAGCTCAACTTTTGCTCCTTTTTAGCTACTGTTCTGCTACATTTCACTTATACCTTTTTGTGCTTTTCAGCTATGTTTCTGCTACTTTTAGCTGGCCTTTTGCTTGTTTTAGCCACCATTTTATTTTTAGCTTGCCTTTTGATCCATTCTAGTTATTGTACTTTCAGCTTGCCTTTTGCTCCTTTTTAGCTAATGTTCTGCACGTTTAGCTTGCATTTGCAACATTTTAGGTATGGTTCTGTTATTTTTACTGTGCCTTTTTTGTTTCAGCTACTGGTCTGCTAATTTTAGCTGGCCTTTGGCTTGTTTTTAGCCACTATTTTACTTTTAGCTTGCCTTTTGATCCATTTTAGCTACTGTTATGCTATTTTAGCTCACCTTTTTAGCTATAGTGCTGTTACTTTCAGATTATTTTAGCTACCATTCTGCTACTTTGTGCATATGCCTTTTTCCTACTTGTAGCTACAATTTCGTTGCTTTTAGCTTTCCTTTTGCAGCTTTTTAGTTATTTCAGCATACTTTTAGTTCTTTTTAGCTATTGTTCATGTTTTAGCTTGCCTTTTTAGTTAGCACTATGCTACTTTTAGCTCACCTTATATGCTTTTCAGCTACAGTTCTGCTAATTTTAGCTGGCCTTTTGTTAATTTTCAGCTACAATTTCTCTTTTTAGTTTGCCTTTTGCTCCATTTTATCTATTGGTCTGGTAGTTTTAGCTAACCTCTGGCTCTTTTTTTTTTTAGCTTCAACAGCTTAATTTCAGCTTTTTTAAATTTCAGCAATCATTCTAAATCAGCTCCACATCAGTTTTTGTTTAATTATTTTAGAGGCAGATTTCAGATTAATTTCAATAAATCAATAACTGATAGTGTGCGCACAACTTGTGCTAGTTTTATTGTAAATTAGCTCCTTTAGCTTAAACTAGCCACTTGGCACGAGCTCAAGAACACTTTGCTGGACGAGGTTGCGTCACTTCCGGGCAGAGGGCGGTAGGAGCGAGAGAGCAGCAACAGCAGCAGTTCAGTCTCCGTAGAAACGTCCGTGGAGTTGGATCAGCTCGGTTCTAGCGACATCGACGAACCGAATCGCTTCGAGGCTGGATGGATGTTTATTTTTAGAAGCTCGACGTCTGAAAGTAAAACCGGGCTGGATTTTTAAACTAATTTTTTTTTCTTCAAAATTGAGAACCGGAGCGCGGGAAAAAAGTTTGTTTTCTTATTTTTAGTTTTTTCTGTCGACTTGGTTTCATAAGTGAGCAGATATCTTGTTGTTGTTTCCGTGTTTTTGTTGGATATTTCTGAGCCGGAGTGGAGCTGTTGACGGGGGAGAGACACCGGAGAGGAGGCAGCTCCACCTGACCTCCTGGAAGAAATAAGACGCTCTGTGCGCGCGTGCGAAATGGCTAATAAGCTAGTTTGACGTGACGCACTAAGCTAGCTGCTCTCGAGCAACTTGTTGGTTTAACTTCACATTATTTTTTGCGAGCTTTCATCTCCGACGCCATGGATATAACCGGGCACCTCCGGCGCTCGTGATGCCACGCGCACCGGTTGCCATGACGCCTGCTCTCTAACCCGCGCGCCGGCGTGGCGCCGTGTCCCGCTGCCGCCGCCGCCGCCTCCTCCGGGATGAGCAGCACCGACCTGGAGCGCGTGTCGCTCAGCTCCTCGGCGAACTCGGTGGCGTCGAGCGCGCGGACGCTGTCGGCCAACGTGCGGAAGCTCCACAACGCGCTGAACCTGCTGCTCAGCGACCCGGAGCGGGAGCAGTTCATCCACTGCCTGAACGTCTACCACTCCAAGCGCAACGTCTACGACCTGGTGCAGACCCTCAACGTGATCCTCAACGCGCCCAGCAAGAGGCAGCTGCTGCCCATGCTGCGGCTCGTCATCCCCCGCTCCGACCAGCTCCTCTTCGAGCAGTACACCTCCGAGGGCCTCTACCTAAAGTCCGGTCTGGCCGCGAACAACGGCGACGCGGAGCCAGCGCCGGAGCCGGCGGCGGGGGACCTCTCCGGCAGCCCGACGCCCTCCGGGCACCTCTCCCCGGGCAACGCGCCCGGGTTCCAGGTGGCGCTGCGCGGCTCTCCGGACAGCTTCAGCACCAGCAGCGACGGGACAGCTCCCCTGGTGCCGCTGCTCGGCCGCAACTTCATCCACGAGCCGCCCGGAGAGCTGCGCCAGGTCACCATGAAGCGGCACAAGAGCAACGAGGGCCTGGGCTTCAGCATCCGCGGCGGCTCGGAGCACGGCGTCGGGATCTACGTGTCCCTGGTGGAGCCCGGGAGCCTGGCGGAGAAGCAGGGGCTGCGGGTCGGGGACCAGATCATGAAAGTCAACGACAAAGTCTTCGAGAAAGTCACCCACGCTGAGGCCGTGAAGGTAAGCTGCGGGACCGCAAAACTCGGGCCATAGTTTTTATGTTTCATTGTGTCTGTTAGCAAAATATTTCAGGAACTGCTTGTCGAATTTTAATGAAACTTGCTCAAAAATAGTCACTAGATGTACCTCTACAGCTGATTAAAACATGGAGTCAGACTGAAACAATATGGCCGCCACAGTCAACAAACTTTAAAAAGCACAAAAGTAACAATACTGCTGTCAGCATCACACACATTGACCTAAAATTTGGTATAGCTGAGACTGACTCCCAACACATGTTCTGAGCTCCAGCTGATGGTGCAACGTTTTTTTTAGTTTTCYCATTAATTAATTAGTTGGTTTGTTAGCAAAATATTTCATGAACTGCTTGTCAGATTTTAATGAAACTTGCTCAAAATAGTCATTAGATGTATCTCTACAGCTGATTAAAATATGGAGTCAGACTGAAACAATATGGCCGTTAATTAATTCCCGTTCCCATAAATTCCCATTAATTAATTGGTTTGTTAGCAAAATATCTCATAATCCATTGGGCCGATTTTAATAAAACTTTAGGGAAATAGTCATTGGATGTACCTCTGCAGCTGATTATTTGGAGATTGTTGCAGCAGCCAGCTGTACATAAATGTTGATTATTTAGCTAATTTAAACAGATATTGAGTTAAGATTTGGTGTGGTAGTAGCTGAGGGTGATCCACAACACACATTGAGCAAAAATAATTATTTTCCCAACCTTTAGCAACTGTTGTCATTCCTTAGTTAGTAAAATATGAGGAAACTTAATCATTGTGTCATCAGGAGGCTCAGCTGCAGACCACCTGTGATCCACAGGAAACATGCCTCCATCAGAGGAAATTTCTACTTTTTAGAAACATCTTCACATCCTGGTTACAACAGAACATATTTGACTACTTTTAGATTTGTTTGACAAACCTGACCTGTTGAGAAAATGTTTAGCTAATGTCAGAGACAAGTTTCAAGCTAAAGTGTCCCTGTTTCAGGAGTGAATATTTTCTAACTGCTAAATATTTATTATTAATGACAGGTAAAAATAAGATATGACTACAACTAATAAAGTATAATTTTTCAACCAGCTAAAAGTTTTTAAGTTATTGATTGACTTCAGGTCTGGATTTACTGTAGATGTTAAATACCAGAAAACATATATAATTTATAAATATCTGCTGTTTTACATGATTATTGAATGAAATTATGTTAACATACCTTTGACAATCCAGAGGCCCTGAAACTAAATTCCTGCTCCAGTTGAAACCATTTCACAGTAAAAAAAAAAAAGAAAAAAAAAAGATATTGTTCATAGAGACAAAGTATTAGCCAGCAGCTGTCAGTCTGGAGCTTGTGGTCCAGCTGTGTTGCTCTGATGTTGGCTGGTTTGTGCTCATTAATAACAGGATGAAGGTTTAACAGCTGCAGCCATCAGAGAGTCCAACATTAGACTTCCAGGAAGCTCCTCTGGTGTAACTGGACCCTGAGAGCTGCAGGTAACTGTAGAGCTGTGTGTCATTAGGTTCAGCCTCTCTCTTTAAGGTGAAGGACTGAAAATGAAAGGACACATTTTTTCTTCTTGTTAAAACAAAAGAAAACAAACTTGAGCTGATTTAAAGTATTAAAAGCAGAGCTCATCTTTTCTCCTGGAACTTTTAGTCTTAATGTTTCAGCTACRTGTAAACAGAGGATGGATGATCTTGTTTATTCTAAGACACTTTAGACACATTTATTAAACATTTTAATTCAAATACAGGGATTTTATTATAAATATAYTTTTGTTAAAGTAGACAAAACATTGTTCTGTATGGAGAGAAGCAGCCCAGCAGGAGGTAAAACCATTAGCATTTAATTAGCCTGTTAGCATACAGGACTTAAACCCAAAATACTTCAGAGTCTCTGCCTCTGTAATTTTATGGGTCAGACATTTAAAATGTTTGCTAMCTACTGCGCTTGAGTAAGAGCTGGATAACTATATATATAATCCATATAATTGTTTTTTTCTTACAGCCATGTGTCTCAGTTTAGCGTAGAAACAGTCAAAGTGAGTTGTTTTATTCCACAGATCAGGTTTCACTGTTTTTTATTGATTTAAAATAGTTAGTTTATTGGCACCACGCTGAGGGTTTAGCTCAGTCCTGTAAAAACAAGTTTTGGGTGTTAAGAAGGTAAATAATACCTGTTTTGGAGAAGAGTTGTTGGTGAATCGTCCAGCTGTGGAGGAAGACGAGCAAATTTACAGAGACCTGGAGGAAAAGAGGTGAAATATGGTTGAAAAAGAAACAAAGGATGGAGACAGAGACTTTATCTACAGTAAGAACATATATAAGGGTGTATTCAGACCAGGAAAGTCCTTTGGTCCAATTGTTTGGTCCGGACCAAAAATGGACTTAATTTTTTTTCGTTTGGTGCGGTTTGCATTGTGCTTTTTTGCAAACGAACTATAACTTGTAAACAAAGCCATGAGGCTGACGATCATTGCTCCCATTGGACAAAAAAAAGGACGGGGGCGGGACTGAGCCACAGACCCAGAAGAAAACAAGGAAGTCCTGCGTGCTGCAGTTCTGATGCGCACATTTTTACTGATAGTCCAACTGCAATGGCATTTAAAATGTCAGAAGCAGCTAATTTAATGGTGGTTCTGTGATGATATTCTAATTGTGGAGCGGCATCAGTAAATGTGTCCCGCAACCCAAAGGAGACGAGGTGCTCTGCGTGTTCTGACCCACAACATGCTGCAGCAGAGCTGCTAACAGGAGACGACTCGGGTATGATTACAGGTTATTTAGCTCAGCAACGGGGGCCTGTGAAGTCCAAAAAGGTGCATGTTTTATGCAGTTGGTTTGGTTAGAGTCCGGTCTGTATTCACACCAGAAGCAAACTGAAGCGAACCGCACCAGAGTTCGTTTGGAAGCGGCCGAGACCACCTCAAAAAGCAGGTCTCGGCCCGGTTGTTTGATCCGCACCAGAGTTCACATGAGTGTATTCACACCTGCASAAAAGGTCCGGACCAAYRCTGGAAACWAACTCTGGTTTGTTTAAAGYRGAGCAAAYTATCAGGTCTGAATACGACCTATATGAAAGGGATCAGAAGGAAGAAATGTTGCAACTTCTTCCTTTTTTCCTCTGAAATAAAAACAAATAAAAGTGTTTTACAGACAAACTTTGAAACAAACAGCATCAAGTCCGTCGTTGAACAACAGTTTGATACGTCCTGCTGCTGCTTAGCATCAGATTTTGTTTCAATAAACCAGCTTTAATCATCTTTTTACACATAGAAATTGTTTTGGAGGTTTTARCATCAAGATTATTCCTTGAATACAGTTCAGTGTTTCTTTAGGCTTATAGGAAATATTTATCTTTATTYCCTTAAGATTATCTTGACACTTTTTAAACAACATTTCACTGAATATTTACATGTAATATATTATAAATTCAGAAAAAAAAATGACACTTTTCCTGGGTTTATTCGTATCACACGGGTAGTTTTTCCAGTCTGGGGCAGCTCTAGTGTCACACTGAACTGTTTTTGGACTGTTTGACATCAGAGTTTTGTCCTCACTTTGCAGTCTGTTTTTTTTATTTATTTTTTTAAAAACAAGTGACTTATAAATAAGTAATCTCATACACGAGGACCTTAACTGAAAGTCAAACGGCTTTATAAAAGCACACAAAGCAGATGTGCTTCTGCACAGCGTTCTGAGGTCAGTCTGCATGTTAACAGCGTTGTTCAGGACGGACCTCCGATTCAGCTCCGAGCTACGAATCAGCTCACAGTCTAAGATTTTTTTCTTTTTCTGTTCCCCCGCCCCGCCCCCCTACCATCTAATCAACACACTTAGCATTAGCGTGCCGCAGAGCTGCTTCAAGCCCCTCGGCTCCTCCAACACTTGGCCCAGCCCCTGCATGTCAATGTCCCCGGCAGCCGCCTGCTGTCGAAGCCAACCCAGTAAATTTAGACCGATGATATCTATATTTAAACTGCCGTCACTTTGTGGTTCTTCTGCAAATCAGCGATGAAAACCAGGTGATCCAAAAGGCTTTCATTTGAGCCGAGTATACGTCATCCCCAGCGATAATGTCTTGTATCCTCTCTGTCTGCGTGCCCTTTTGGTTCCTCCATGACACCCCAATCAGTCTGAAAACCAATCAAATTAAGAACTAAGAGAAACGGATGGTCCACGGCCGACACCGAGACAAGACTGCCTCTCTTTTAGCTGCTGTGGCCCAAACCAGAGGAAAATAATTCATGATATCCCCGTCCTGTCACATCCCCTGGCCGCACGGCACGCCAGCAGAGGACGATAATGAAAAGGTGCGGGCTAAATGCTGATGTAGCGGTGACACCCCCCCTGACAGCCTGGGAGCAGATAGACTGAGCCGGGGCTCGCAGGACGGAGATGGAAACCATGTCAGAGGGTAAATTCAGCTGTGAGCTCTGACAGTTCATCTGGGAGCAACAAACAATTTCATCAGGCAACATCTGTTCGCTGCAGTGAGTGGATTAGACTGGGACAGAAGAAAACCAGGCGAATGATTAATTTTCTGCACTTAAACCAACAATGCAGAGACTTACTAAAAGCCAATCTGGCTTTTTTTTTCTGCGCTTAGTCAGCAGTTTAACAACTTAGAGAAACAATGTTTGTTAAATAAATAAAAAGATTAATAAAAAATAACAGATTAGGTTATGTAAACCTAAAATCTGCATCAGATCAGTTTGACTGGATGTAGAGCTGGAAAACTGAAGGGAGGTGAAAATCCTGTCCTGACTTTCAGCTAACACCACACCAAACTTCAGCTCAGTGTCCTTAAAACTGACCGAGCTGTTCCCATTTTTCTTTTCTAAGGTCWGTTTGCGTCCATCTTGAATCTGGTTGAACTGATCAGATGTTCATCCAATGATTTCTTTGAGTTTGTAAGAAAAAGCATGATCAATAATTGGAGTCAGGGCTGACCTCAAATTCATATCACGGTATAAATTGAATCCCTTCACA